TGATTGATCATGATGACTACCTAATCAGTGGTCTTCTCCAAGCCCCCAGCCCTAACCCACTTACAAACAAGCTATGAGCACTACATAGGTGACCTGGCCTGTGTCAGTGTCCTCAGTTTGTTGTTTCAGCTTTCTGCTTGGCTGTGGTCACACCCCTGCAATAGTGAGGCATTGCTGTGATCCAGACCAGAGCAGGAAACCTCTATATCTCACTTTAACTCTCATGGGCAGGCACTATAGATTTGAACTATCAACTTTTTGGGATAAGGTGCTGTTAGTGATTGCTTTCGCAAATTCTTCTTTTCCTTTCAGGGCGCTGTGAGGTGGGATGAGGCACTGCAAAGGGTTAGGCTGCTTTTAGACCAGGTTAAAAGATGAAATTGTTTAGAAGGGGAGTAGGAGAGTGTAAAACCCGCAATTTGTTTATCAGAGATTTCTATTTTTACTTAACTGTTTTATTTAACTGTTTCTATCTTCAGGATGAGCCCTTCAGTTCCCACATGCCAGAGACGCTCTTCAACATCTGCAGGTTTCTCCTGAACAACCTCACCAAGGACATACCACCTGGCATATCTAAAGTGTATCCTTCCATTTGAGAAAGTAGACCAAACATATTGTAAGATATCAAGTAAATATTTTTAGAATAAAGTACTGTGTGGCCCTTCCTCTCTGGGAAACTCTCAAGAACAGACATGCCAATCTGAAATCAAGACTGGCAGAGACAGTGATGATAAAGTGGTGGAAAAGCGATAGAAGTAGAGAGAAAACGGAAGAGTTGGCGCCACTGCGGAAACCATGCTGCTGCTGAGAGAAATAAAAGGGGTGATGATGGGGAGGAGATGATGCCAGCAAGAGGCACATTCTCCGTTATCTAAACAAATGCTTTGATTATTGAACTTTGTGCAGACACGTACAGATATAAACACACTAAACAATGTGTTTTAATTCGAAAAAATACACACACAAAGCCACCCACAGCCGTACAGACACATCCATGTGGTCACATAGAGGCAGAGTGTGAGGAAGGAAAGCCCAGCCTTTGAGGAGGATGTCAAGCTGAGCAGCTGGGATCCTCTGTGGCCAAACTGAGGTGTTCCAAAAACTTTGAACTTAGATTTATAGACTTTGCTGGGCTGCATTGGAATTGATGTGAACAATTGAACGCAATGTCACAGAAAGGCTGCACTAAACAACCTACACAATAGGAGGACACGCATTTATCAACAGTCCCAGCCGTGGAACAGAACTGGGTGTGTGGGAGGAGCGGGAGAGCATTCAAAGGAGAGGAGTAGTGTTAAGTTTTAGGTTATGGAGGAGTGCCAGTGTTGAGCTGTTGCAGCTGCAACTCATTGACCTGTCATTGCCACTCTCAGAGCAGCTCTCTTAACAATCTGTCCATATAAATACAAATAAGCAACAATTTCCTCAACTCAAACGCAAAAACAGGCACATAGGCCTGTATAAGCCCACACACAAGCCCACAAACACAATCTTACCAAGGTATTACTTTTGAGGCATTTAGCCAGTGTTGCTGCGTCAGCACGGCTCTTAACAGCTCATTTAGAGAAATGAGGGAATATACCATTATTGTATATTTATTATACCTATTTATAAATACACACAAGGGTACATTTTTCCACATAAAAGGTAACTATTTTTGAATAAGACATCTAGAAATCAATGTCCCAGTGAAACTATATTTAGACTATATTTAGCTATTCCTCTTACATTTATTTTCCTTGACCTGATTCTTAGAAACACCTTGTATGCGTTGGCCAAGCAGAGTCAAAAACTGGGTGCATATAAACTTGCCAGGTATTCGTACGAGAAACTCCAGGAGCTGCACATTCCCTCCCGCTTCCAGGAGTCCATAGAACTGGGCAGCCTCACCGTTCGCGCCAAACCATTTCACGACAGCGAGGTGTGTTTAGGAGTTGGCATGTACATGCTGGTATATTTAACATGCTCTGAAATATTGTGTTCATGAATGTATATGTTTAACTTCCGTGTTTTTCCTGCAGGATCTGATTGAGGGCATGATGTGCTACCGCTGCTCCACTAACAACCCCCTGCTGAACAACCAGGGCAGCGTGTGCATCAACTGCAGGCAGCCTTTCATCTACTCTGCTTCATCATACGGTCAGTGATACAGAGACAGATTGTACGCAGTATTTACACAGAGAAGACTCTGTTTGTGTTTTAATGTAGCATTTCTCCTTGTATACAGAGGTGTTGCCTTTGGTGCAGTTCTACCTGGAGGAGGGCATCAGTGATGAAGAGGCTGTGTCTCTGATTGACCTAGAAGTTCCTCACACGGATCAGAGGGATGGGCGCTGGCACGATATGGACAATGGTGGTATCCTTTGGTCATCTACACAATGTAGCTACACACAAATACACACACATACACAGAGTAACATGATTCACAAGCTTTGTATTATTATTATTAACTCCCCACTCTGCTGGTCCTGAGTGTCTGCCCTAACACACTGCACATCTCTTCCAAATTAAGCACGTGACTCCTCTCCGCCTTGTGACAGTTCTAAGAAGCTGTTTAGTCTGCGTTGGCCTCGATTCTGCGCTGGTGGGTAAGCTGTCAGAGCTAAGTCATCTTAGCTCTTGAGCTAATAGGGTTAGAGAGGCTCTCCTGTCTCATCTTAATGACACTAACCCTCGGAGAGCCGTAGCCACAGCCCTAGTGCAGGGATTAACCTGCATTAGCCGGCAGACACTCAAGGGCACTGAGGTCTGCTCTGTTACTCCAGACCCACGATGTGACTGACAGGCATGACTGATTGGCATTTGAAACACTCTCACTTTTAGAATAATTTTCTGAGGGATAATACAAGGGGTTTTCCTGTCTTGAAAATATATAATTACAGAAAACATACATAACATGTAAAAAAAAAAAAAACACGTAAAATATGATTGTGAAGTATATGCATTGCTATCTGTTCTTAATGAACGCTAATCAGAGCTGCAGTCTTTGAGGATGGATGATGGTTTTGATGATGCAGAGGAAGACCCATTTACAGCCAAAATGAGCTTTGAGGTAAGAAAGGACAGAGAAGATGAGGCGATTAATATTCCACTAACTGGGCAAACCAGCTGGAGAGGGGGAAAGGACAGGGTCCATAATAGAATGTGGATGTGTTCCTGTGTGTGTCCAAACAGCAGGGGGGTTCGAACTTTGTCCCAGTCAAGGTGAGTCGCTTGGTGCTGCGCTCAATGAGCAGGAGGGACGTCCTGATCAAACGCTGGCCCAGGCCGCTCAAATGGGAATACTTCCGCTCCCTGCTGCCTGATGTGAGCATCACCATGTGCCCCACCTGCTTCAAGGTACAGCATTTATAAGACCCAGGGCTCGTGTAACCTGGTGTGTTTTTCTGTCTTTCTTCTTTGTCTCTGTAACTAACAGTGTTTTTTTTACGTGAGGTTTTTTTTGTTGTTGCACGCCCTCTATAGATAACATTTATTTTCAGATCCTCAGATGAGGCCGTTCTAATGTTGCTATCTTTGTATTTCCTCGTAGATGTTTCACAGTGAAGACTATGAACTCCTGGTGCTTCAGCACAACTGCTGCCCTTACTGTCGCAGACCCATCGATGAACCAAACTGATGTACTTAAAATAGAGCAGCTATTTTAAAAGATAATCTTGTTGTCCTTTCTGACATGTTGTCTTTGTTCTTTTACATTGTAATATCATTGTCTCTGTAATATACATAGACATCTGTTTATTGTCAAGTTAATGTGAATGTGTTACCGCTATTCCTCGAGCTCAAGAGCAGTAATACCTGTAGTGTGTGTGTTTGTCATTATAGAGTGGTCATTAAAAGTGCACCATCAGCCAATCAACCCAATTGGATTATTAGGATCAGATTACCTTGGGCTGTCACTGATTTCATCATTACTTTAAAGGGAACAGAGGTGTACAGTGTAAAAACAATATTGCTATAATAACACATTTATTTAAAAAAAAACACTTTTAACCTAATAGAAAACACATTTGTTATAATGATAATGTTATTATTCACAAAGACCAGAGACATCTGCCAACAAGATTTCACAGGCTCACATACTGAATACTGTATGTTTTATAACAGTACGGGACATTTAGTCATGAGAATGTATTTTTTATATCATTACAAATGGAAAAAAGGCCTTTTCAATAAAATGTTTTGGTATTTTTTATGACCATGGGTTTTCTTAATGATGTTACAAAGACAACTGGAGTAACATTAACTTTTTACTCTTGCAGATTGAACTTTAGGATTTGTGTCTGTGAAAGAGAGAGCTGGGAAAGTGCATGCTGTGAGCGGTATGCCCCACTGATTCTGAGTACACCTACGGCTATGAGTTGAGCTCTGCATTATGCAGTGGTTAGGGATTAGGCTTTCGCGGATGCAAATAAGTTGAATTGCTCAAGAAAATTCATTTTGTCGTTTGTCCACTCTGAACGGTTTAAATCACAAATAGGCTGGTTCCCTCTTTGCCCTTCCTCCCACTCTCTGCTCTCATCTTATTCTGATGATGCATTGATGCACATGACAGTAATGATGGAGTTCGGGTTGCCACGACTGTAACCTCTCACCTTGAAAATGGTGAACATACTGCATAGCTATTTCTGGAGTTTTCTTCTTTAATGCTTTATGTGTGTGCCTGTGTATGTGACTGTGTGTGTGTGTTTGTGTGTGTGAGAGAGAGAGAGGGAGAGAGAGAGGGAGATTGAGTGTCTTAATTCCACCTCTGCTAACACTTTGCTCCATGCACGTCCCTAATCCGATCGGCCTGTTAAAAGGTGCCGCATCACTTCAGGGGGCTGCAGAGAACATCTTACTTCCACAAGATCCATCCCTTCAGCCATCCTTTCTCCCCCATTTTCACTACAACTTCACGACAAGACTCCCTCACAGTATTCTATTCTGAGAAGAGGCACAGGCTGTTTTATTGAGTGTCAAGGTCTCAGAGGAAGAAAAAAAAACCATCACCAGCTGCAGCCATGAATGGCACAGAAGGACCCAACTTTTATGTTCCCATGTCTAACAAGACTGGGTTGGTTCGCAGCCCATTTGAGCACCCTCAGTACTACCTGGCTGAGCCCTGGAAGTACTCTCTTGTGGCTGCGTACATGCTGTTCCTCATCTTCACTGCATTCCCCATCAACTTCCTCACTCTCCATGTCACTGTCAAAAACAAAAAGCTGAGGACCCCTTTGAACTACGTCCTGCTCAACCTGGCGGTGGCCGACCTCTTCATGATCATCGGAGGATTCACAGTCACCCTGTACACAGCCCTGCATGGATACTTCATATTAGGGGTCACCGGCTGCTATATTGAAGGATTCTTTGCCACCTTAGGAGGTAAGACATGAGGAACACATTTCTCTTGTGTATTAAAATGCTTTTATTTAGATCATATAAATGTCCTTAATATGTCAATTACATTATTGGCAATATTTTACTTGTACTCTTAAATACCATGTCTGTTTAAATTTACACTTGCTTTATTTCATGTCTCAGGAGAGATTGCTCTCTGGTCTTTGGTGGTTTTGGCTATTGAGCGCTACATTGTGATCTGTAAGCCAATGACTAACTTCCGCTTTGGGGAGAAACATGCCATTGCTGGGCTGGCATTCACATGGATCATGGCCCTGACCTGTGCTGCTCCCCCTCTATTTGGATGGTCTCGGTACTGTATGTTTCAGTGTTTAGACTGTGCTTGCCAGGTTTCAAAACAATACGCATATTATTCTGATCACTTGCACACTATAGCACCTTAGAGATTATTTACTTGCAGAACACTTACTCAAAGACATATCTAGAATCAAATACTGAGTGTGATGGTGTTGATGGAAATTTTTAAGATTATTATTGTATGTGTGGATGCAGGTACATCCCAGAGGGAATGCAGTGTTCCTGTGGGATTGACTACTACACTCCTAAGCCCGAGATCCACAACACCTCATTTGTCATCTATATGTTCGTCCTCCATTTCTGTATCCCCCTCTTCATCATTTTCTTCTGCTACAGTCGCCTGCTCTGCACTGTGCGAGCGGTAAGGACACCACTGCCAGATGCAGTATTAATAATAAGGATGTGATACCTTGTTTGTCTCTGTAGAGAAATTCTCTTTTTTTTTTTTACCTTTTGGGAGGTTAGCAGCATCACAGAGCAGAATCTCTAGAGATGCGAGGGATTTAATGGCTCAAGGACACTTCAGGAGGGCAGATCATTGCCAACATGGCAGCTTATACCCAGGTCCTCAAGCTGGAGGGCAGTCTGCCTGCTCACTGTGACCTCATTAATAATAGTTTTACATTGATAATGTATTAGCGTTCATAAATAGTAAAAACAAATAATACTGAAATTTGCATTGAAACAGCTTTAATTGATCATTTTATAATCAGTGGTGGAGTGTAAGTGTTAGAGTTAGTACATTTAGTACTAAGTTAATTCTATCACGTGAAGGATATAAATGCTTCCCCCTCCACTGCTAACAATGAAACCTCTCTCTCTCTGTCAAACAGAGTCTAATCTACAGAGAACTATCACCTGAATCTGCAGCTTTATAGCAAGTTTCAATTCTTTGTTTAGCTGTCAGCCTTAATATCAGGTTCACTCTCACAACTCCCATAGCCTCAGCTATGGGCAGCTGTTTCCAGCAAAGAAAAACAAAAAACAGAACTGTACACACTGCCTGCTCAGCACCAAACAGCAGACTGGTGAACATAGTGCAGCTAAAGCAGTTAAAGAACCCAAGTCCAAGCCCGAGTTATTAGCATACAGAGCAGAATGGTTACCTCTTTGACCGAATGGATGCACAAACTGGGGCTAGTGGAGACAGAAAATAGCTCAAAAGAGAGTGAATATTGGACATTCTCCAGCTGGACAGAAAGACAAACCCAAATGAATGACAAGGCTGCTACTGCTCTGTGTGTATATAAGCAACTGTTTGCTAAGACATTCACAAGATCAATTTAAAAGGTGATCATGTGTCAGACAGCCTGTTTCTGCTTCCCCTATGTGGCCAAAAAAATGTGATAAAACACGGCCTTTCTGTTCTTAAAGGCTCAATCTGTAATTTGACTCATAAATTACAGACATATTTGCATATATAATTGGGTAGTTTGATTCCATCCTGAACAATTATCTTGATACGTTTGTTTTACTGCTGTCTGTTTGAAACCATTACAGATGTAAACAAATCTTCAACAGCATGAGAGAACATGAC